CTTTGCTTAAATCCTCTGCTCCGGTCCTCGTATGCCGGATCTGCCTGAGTGTGTCTCCTGTCTCTTCCCTTCTGCCTGTCCTTGTTTAACCAGGATCGTGCTGAGAAATCTCCCAGGCTCATCTAATCCTCAGAAGGCGCTGCCTAGCCTTTAAAAGTAGCAGGACTTTCTCCAGGAGCTCTTGTGTTTCCCAATTGATGGGAACCTAACAGTGGCTACTTGGCATGTATAGGGCTGTTTATAAAATATCATAGCGGCATGCATAATAAAATGAAACCAGGCTCCCATCAAAGAAGTAAGGAATAAGAGTGAATTGGTTTTAGGTCCCTAAATACAAATTTCATTAACCAGCATGAGAATGAGGGCAACCGCTTTTCAAAGACTCTGGGAGAGAAGGCACTCCCCGAAGCACAACCAATCTCTTTGGGGGGTGGAGCCCCCCCCCAGACCCTGCTGCTTCTGGGAACTGATCCGGGTGGTGGTAGGAAAACTCTGAGGAGGGAGGCGAGGTTGAAGCAAAATGCAGGGAGCTGGCCCTGCTTGTTCAGGAAGGGGGTGTCTGGGATGGCGTCACACAGCTGCTACCTGTTCTCTCCCCCCCCCGAGATGCTAATTGCCAGGGCAGGGCAGAGGGTGATCCTGTCCTTGGTAACAGCGTGGAGAAGTTCAGGGCTCAGAGGAAGCTGCACTTTGGTCTACCATGTAGGCAAAATAGAGCTATTGGAAGGTCCTTCTTTTTCCTGATAAGCTGCCAAAGACTTCAGGATTATTTCTAGAAAATAAAATGAAGAGCTATAGTTTTCATCTTGTTTCATCCTAATTCATTAGAAACACAATGGCAAAGGAGAGAACGGTCTCTCTGACCAGCCTGGCTGCCCCCCCCCTTCTCACTTGGTCTTTTTCTGACCCATCCAAAAAACATCTCTCCATCCAGGGCCAAATTCCACCATAGAAGCCGCCTGTTGATACACCCAAATTGCCTTTCCTTGTGCCAGGACTGGTTGACCAGCCATTCTCTCTCTTCCCCCCCCCACAGCTGCTCAGCTCTAATTACCATAACAATGGCTCCCAATTTACAGCCCATTCAATATGCCTGCCTTTGATTGATTAACTTACAGTTTCTGTTTGAATAACCCTGGCCGCTAAAATGCTAAAACTGTAATCCCAGAGGAGTCGTGAACAGGGCTGGTGGAGGGACCCGGGGCTTGCTCACACGCTCTTTCTTCTTCAGCCTGACCTCTGCACAAGGGAGCTGCTAATTGAAGAAGCCATTAGTATTCTTTCGCAAGCACTGCCGGCCTCAGCACATGTCGGAGCAGCATCAGATGGCTCAGGGATGGTGTGGCTGACAGGCGGGCAGTCACCGCCGCACGTGGTGACAGGCCAGCCAAGAGGCTGTCCTTGCTGTTCAAACAGAGCCATCAAAACCTGGCGGCTGCTGTTGCTGCTGCTGTTTTTTTAAAAAAACACTTCTAGGAGAGGACCTTTCTGTCCAGCAAAGATTGGGATGTTGAATGAGGGCACATTGAAGAGAGCTCAAAGGAGGTTGAAAGAAATAGCTTCTCCACCACCAGCACCTGCAAAATTCTGGAACCACCTAGTGCGTGATGTTGTGGGGCTACGATGGCCCTTCCCATGCGCCCGTCTTGAGTGGGAAGTGGTGGCAGTCAGGCACATTTCCAGCCGTTTAAAGGTGTAACGTGCACCCAGGAGCAAAACAGACGGACCTGCCTGCCTGCCTGCCTTTGCGAAGGGTGTGGGTGCCTGCATAGAGAGACACACGCACACACATGGGTTCACGGTCTTTCTCTAGCTGTCCTCCATTGCCTTTCAGATCCAGTTGTGATTCAGCAGCTCCGAAGGGCTTATAAGTACTTCAAAGATTACAGGCAGGTGAGTAAGTCGGCCAGGGCCTTAAAGGGGGGGGGACAGGCAGGTAGGGTATCCCCGTTGCAGACAGACTGGGTTTTGTGTGCTGTGACTGTGCCAAAATCAGCCGGAGTTCTGCTCTCCAGGAAATGGGTTTCTGTCCCTGAGATGATGATGATGATGGCGGCATAGGCTGCCCTAACAAGCTTGTGCTCTCATTCCTGCTTGAGATCCATGGGGTCAGCCTCGGTTTTCAGAACAGGAATGGCTGGTGCTTGGCGGTGTCGGATGTTTGCCTCCAGTTTCTCCGGGCCTCTTAAACTCTGAGCTCTCCTAGTGTTCCTCAGTAAGGCTCAGAAGCTTTACTATTTCCAAGTACATCAAGTCTAACCTCCTCCTATGGCAGAACCGCTTGGACCAGCCTCTTTATGGATGCGACTCTGTGCTGCTCCTTTTGCAGATGATCATAGAGCCCACCAGCCCCAAGCTGCTTCCAGACCCCCTGAAGGAGCCCTATTACCAGCCCCCTTACACCCTGGTCATTGAGCTGACGGATGTCCTCCTGCACCCCGAGTGGTCGGTGCGTATCCTTTCCGAGCCCTTAGGGTGTGGTTGCAGAGGCGCTCTGGGCCCACGCTGGCCTTTTGGTCCTTGAATGCGATGGACTGGCTCTCGGGGACCATAGAAACCCTCCTCCTTCAGACCGGTCACGCTCCGCAGGGGGAGAGGGGCCAGGTTGCTCCCTGGCACATGGGCTCATTGTAGACGGTGTTTGAACACCGGAGGGGGGAGGGCCACCGGGGGGGGGGAGGAGGAGGAGGAGGAAAAGCCAGCCCTTCCTTGCATGGCTGGAATCTCATGGCTCTGCTCTGTCTCCTCTCCCGGCAACCCTGTTTGTCCTCAGTTAGTGACCGGCTGGCGCTTCAAGAAGAGGCCAGGCATTGACAACCTGTTCCAGCAGCTGGCGCCCCTCTATGAAATCGTCATCTTCACCTCCGAAACGGGCATGGTGAGGGCGCTGGGGGGGGGCTCTGCCAGCCGTAACCCATCCACAGAGGGTCAGGGGGGCCACTATGTTCCCTCCAGATGTTGCTGGGGAGGGACTCCTGGGATCCTTCCCTCACCACTTGGTTTGCAAGGGGGGGGGCAGCACAGGACCGTGACCTTGGAGGTGCAGGAAGGGTCCCTGGCCGTGTCTTGCTGCCCTTTGGGACGCCTTCCGGTCGGCCTGCGAGGCCATTTTCCCGGACCGTTCTCTGTTCCAGACCGCCTTCCCCCTCATAGACAACGTGGACCCCCACGGGTTCATCTCCTACCGGCTCTTTCGTGACGCTACCCGTTACATGGATGGACACCACGTGAAGGTGAGGGTTGCCTGGTTTGGGGCAGGCTGGCCACTGGGGCCATCGCGGGAGAGGTCCGCTGGGTGGGTGGGTGGTGCGCGCGCGTGCAAAGTGGGCGGCGCATTTGTGACTCTTCTCTGGAGTCAGTCTGGGGGCTTATAGGGCGCCTTTCCCCAAAAGCCCCCCGAGGAAGCAGGCTGGCTGCAGAATCAGTTTTTCTTTTCGTATTATATTTTCTGCTTTGCCCTTGGCTCTTGTGCTGCCCCTCCCGTTTGAAATCTGAATAGTTTATTTGGTGAGTGGATTGACAAGTGGACCCTCCGTAAATGTCTGGGGTTGGACTGGGCGCTCAGAGCGGCCGATGCTTTCTTGTTACTCGCCCTGTTGATGCTGGCGAGCGTTAGCGTCCCAAGAAGGAAAAGTTCTCACCTGCCTTGTGCCGCTGCCAGGATTGTGCTCCGTAAGGGGCTTCCCCCCCCCCCAAGGAAGGCTCCCCAGGGAGGAGTTCCCAAAGCCCCCAAAGGGCTCGGTGGGAGGGCTGGCCTCACCTCCATCCCTGATCCTGGCCAATGTGGGGAAGTGCTTCACAGGGCCTGGCATGGTCTGGACGGGGAGGGGGCCAATTGTGTGGCCAGCAGAGGAGGGGCCAAATGGTGTGACCCCCCCCCCCAAAAGGAAACAACAGGGCTGTGGAAACCTGTTCTGTGATGATGGTGCCGGGGAAGCCTTCCTCCTGCTCTTGGCAGGAACTGCTTCCTTCTGCCGAGAGGCAGCCGCCTCCCGGAGTGGAGGAAGAGAGAGCTGACCTGGGGTGCTGGGGGGGCCCTGGCCTGCCCCCCACCTTTGCTCCTCTTCTCCCCTTAGGACATCTCCTGCCTGAACCGAGACCCCTCCAAAGTGGTGGTGGTGGACTGCAAGAAGGAGGCCTTCCGCCTGCAGCCCTTCAACGGGATGGCCCTGAAGAAGTGGGATGGGAACTCGGAGGACCGGACGCTCTACGACCTCGCCGCCTTCCTGAAGAGTAAGGGAGGGGCTCCCTGGCCTGGCGTTGGCGGGCTGGGAGGGGAAAGGAACACACACAGAGACACTCCTGGCAGGGAGGGAAAGCTCGGGGGTCCCTCTGCCTGGCGGTTTTTCCAGGGAGACCTTGAGCCACAGAAGGTGGCACACAGGCAGACGCTGCTGGGGGAAATTCAGGAAGCCTGGTGGGTGTGAATAGGACTTCCTTGTGGGGGAGTTGCATTGAGTGGTTTCCGCAGCTCCTTCCTTCCCGTTTGTGTAACGGGAGGCAGGATTATGGAAATTCCACACAGCTAAATGGTTGGACATACTCCCAGGTGTAAAATAGATCTTTCTTTGATTAAGGAAGCATTGAGTTTCAGTACAAAGAGGGAGGGAGGGAGGAGGCCAAGTCTCTGAGCTGGTGCTGCTGCTTGTTCCCCCAGCTGTGGCCATGAGCGGAGTTGAAGACGTCCGGACAGTGCTGGAGAACTACTCCTTGGAGGACGACCCACTGGAGGCATTTAAGCGCCGGCAGTCCCAGCTGGAGCAGGTGAGAGGGTCGTGGGGGGGGGAGTGGCTGTGGCAGGGCCGAGCCTGCCGGTGGCTGTGGCAGTTGCTGCTGCTGCCGCCCGGTGGCTGCCAGAACTCTGGACCCGCCTGGGGGCCTCAGTTAGCATTCCAAAGAATAAAAATGGCTGGTGCGTTTCCATTTTTCTTTGAAGGGAGATTGTGCTTTACCACCCAGGAAGCCAGTTGGACGTGGCTGGAATGCTGTGGCCTTGTGGCCGAGGAGCTGTCCCGGGCCCAAGGCGTGTCTTGGGAATAAACAGCGCCAAGAGTCTGGGGAGGCCAGCTTGGGGGTGAGGGGTGTCGAGCGGGTCAGCTCAGTGTGCAAAGGCAGATGGGCAGGGAGCGGAGGATTTTGTGCGGGATTTGAACGCCTCACCTGCGTAGCATTCAGCTTGTGCAAAGAGGCTTCCGGGAAGGATGGCAACAGCCCTCACCCTCAGGCGGGCAGGTGTCTCTGCAGCCAGCCTTGGGAACCGGGCGGAATTCCAGCCAGAGGCAGCAGAGCCCAGGGAAGAAGTACGCAGAGCCGTTTATTATAGAGTGTGGGGTTGGGGTTTGGCCGTAAGGAGGTTCTGGGACCTGTTTCAGCAGACGTTGGTTGGTCCTGCGCATTGGTCTGCAGGGGTCCCCGGGGGGGGGCTTATCGGCCCCAGGGGGGCAGCTTGTGCCCCATCCACACACAGAGTAGGGCGTGAGGGTGGGGTGGGGGGTTAGCCGTAACAGAAGGTCTGCGTGGTGATGAGATGCTCTGAGCAGTGGTGTTCTTTTCCTCTCAGGAGCAGCAGCAACGTCTCTCGGATCTCTCCCAGCACAAGAAGCAGCAGCTCTTTTTGGGCTCCCTGGCCAGTCGGCTGTGGCCCCGCTCCAAGCAGCAGTGACACCAGAGCCTTCGCACACAGCCCTACGGCCCACAGATGGACTCCTCGGCCCGTCAGTCTCTGGCCGAACGGGAGAAAGGCAGTGAACACAAGGGGACACAGACTTTGGCCCAAAGAGGGCGCAGGGTGGGGGCCGCGGTCCCCTCGCCTTCCTGCTCTCCTCCCAGGCCAGGAGGGTGGCGTGCAGGGTTATGCCCCTGTCCAGCAGAAGAGGAACCCAAGGGAAGAACGTGGGGCAGCCCCGACAGGCGACCCGGCCTCTCTGCACCCAAGGAAGCATGGCTCACCATCACAGCCCGCAGGAGAGGATCTGCCCCGAGATTGTCGCTCTGGGACCTGCCTTTCCCCACCCATTCTCTCGCGCCGGCCAGACTCCACGGCAGTTCCATTCGGGCGAATGGAAACAAACGTTGCCAGCAGTACTCTCCAATAAATGGGTTGTCTTCATAGCGACACCTTCTGCCCTCTCCGCCCCCTGTGTCACCGCAGCAGGGGTGGCAAATTGGGGAGGGGCCAAGCGGAGGGGTCCAGGGCGCCTTGGCTGTGGCCGGCCTGAGTTCAAGGGGGTGAGCGTGATGAGACCATTAAGCCTGGAGAGGGGATCAGCCTCTGGTCTTCTCAGACCTTCTTGCCCTCTGCAGGAGAGTGAGTTTGGGCCTTCCTGCGGAGCGTAAGGGAGACGGGAAGGAACGCTGGCTAAATATGTTGGGGGAGCCAAGGGAATGTGTGGGGGGCAGGCACAGAGGGTTCTCTGGAGCTGCTCTGCTTCTTTCCCATCCGGCTGTGTCTCTTCACAAGGCGTGCAATACTTTCCTACAGCTGCAAGTGGCAGACCGTCCTCTCCTTTGGCGTGTGGATCGTTTGGGGGCCATTCTGTGTTTTGCGAGCAGGAAGGCACTTCACCCCACAAGTGCAGGGTGTTTGGGCAGATATAGAAATGTCGTTGTCCTGAGAGTATGGTCAGTTTCTCTTATTTGAGTGGCTGACGAGGGGTTGCAGCTGGGAGCCATCCCCCCCCCCACACACACACACACACACATACATGCCACATGAAGAGGAAAGGATCCTGGAGTTCCTGTCTGTCCACAAGATTCCCAGATTAGCCAGCGGAGCGACAGAGAAGGAACAAAGAAAGACTGATCAATAGATTTCCCCTCCCTCCGGCTTCTCTGTGGTTGGGGGGCTCTTAAGGCGTCTCTGGGAGGCTTGGGCACCGCCTGTCCCGGGGAGTCACTGCCACCATTTTCCTTCACAGCTTCTCCTCCCCAGCCAAGAAGAGACACTCCTGGTTGCAGTTTCTTTTTCCCCTCCTTACCTTACTCTGAGAAAAACAGCGGTGGGGGGGGGACGTTTCCTGACAGGAACAGGATCCCGCTCGTTCCCACACCCCGCGGTCATTCGGCCGCCTCCAGCTCCCCAGGCAAAGAACTGCATTTCTAGGGTGTCCCAAACCGGATGCTGGGAGGAGGAGGAGGAATCGGCAGCTTGGGGGGTGGGGAGGTGGATGCATAAATAAACGTTTGGAACATAAACAGGACGTGCGCCGGGAAGGACGTGGCCTCCCCTCCTGGCTATTTCTTAAATGCAAGGATATGGTGCAGAGAGAGTCCGTTCTTCGCTGCTTAAAAGCAGGAAGAAGGGGGGGTAGTTTTCTCTGTGGGCTGAGGAGGGTGGGGACGGGAGAGTGCGCGGCCCCAGCTGCCAGCCAAGGAGCATCCCCGGAATTGAGGCCCTGAGGCATTTAAAAGCACCCTGAGCCTGAAGTTTTCTCTTAACCCTGTATTCTGCTTCTCCCTCCTGTTGCCTAGACAGGAGACCCCTCCCACTCCCATCTCACCTCCCCATCAGAGGACACAGAGCTGCACACTGCCCTTCCTCTGACGCTGGAGGAGATCCTTACCTGTCCTGACCATTATTTATCTATAGGTCCAACCTCCATCAATTCATCTGGCTTAGTTTTAAAGTCATCCACGTGGGGAGCTGTCACAAGAGCTCATGGCAGTGAATTCCACAGTTTATGCACAGTATGAAGAAGTCCTGTCTGTCAGGTCAAAACTAAGAGACTGAGAAGGAGCAAGCTTCAGCATTTCCAGGCCTACAATAATTAGGTTTTATTTATTTAGGCAATGGCTCAACTAAGCCATTGCCGTTTCCCAAAATTTAAAATCTTGCCAGATCTGCCAGTGCTCCAGTTCCTCTCTTCCACTTCTCTGTGTGGTCCTCGGTCGGTGCCGATGCAGCAATTGTGCCAGTTGCTTGGTCCAGATGGGTTGCTCTGGCTGGCAGTGGGAGAAAGTAGCCGTGGGGTGAGCGAGGCATGGGCGGCGGGTCCTGCACCGAAGTGCAAGGCCTGGTGGTGTGGCTAGAAAAGCAGTGGAAGGCAGGCCTGTGTCATGGCTGTGAGCGATTCTTCCTCGAAAGTCCTCCCTTTGTGTCCTGGAAGGGAGGTTTCTGCACCTGATCTGCCTGCAGGGAAGCAGCTGATCGCTACAGTGCAATCTCTTCCTCCTTCCCTGGCTCGGATAAATAAACGAGCCTTAGTGTGCCCAAGGTCTTGTCTCATTGCTTCCTGTTTGGGCTGTATAATGCATCCATTTCCTGGACCTTCTGACATGGCCTGACCCTTGGCCTGCTGCGATCCATCCGGCCGGCCGCACCTCCTCCCTCTCGCTCACTGGCGCAAGGAGCGGTGCAACTTGGAGCACGCCACGAAGAGCGTGGCATTCAGGCCGCCGTGGCATCGGCAATGGGGGGTTGCCCTTGGGTTGCCGTTCCCAACACCCTCCTGGCAAATCATGGGTGTTCTCAACTGTTCTTGGGCTTCCTTCGTGAGCGGACCAGAGAGAGGCCGCAGCTCGGTGACAGGTCTACCGCTGGCCAGGCCGGGAGGAGGGATTCTGGGCCCTGCAGACCAAAAAGGAAAAAAATGCCAAGATTTACTGAACAGAAATCTTCAAATGCATCTTAAAAAGCAGAGACATCACCTTGCCAACAAAAGTCTGCATAATCAAAGCTACGTTTTTTCCTGTAGTGATGTATGGAAGTCAGAGCTGGACCATAAAGAAAGCTGGATGCCGAAGAATTGATGCTTTTGAATTGTGGTACTGGAGGAGTCTCTTGAGAGTCCCCTGGATGGCAAGGAGAACAAACCTATCCATTCTGAAAGAAATCAACCCTTAGTGCTCACTGGAAAGACAGATCCTGAAACTTTTGGCCATCTCATGAGAAAATAAGACTCCCTGGAAAAGACCCTGATGTTGGGAAAATGTGAAGGACAGAGGAGAAAATGCTTGTCATTGAAGCGGCCAACATGAATTTGACCCAACTCCGGGAGGCAGTGGAAGACAAGAGGGCCTGGTGTGCTCTGGTCCGTGGGGTCACAACTAAACAACAACACTGAACAGAAAAGGCCATCTTCTCTTGAGGCTGCATCAATAGCCTGAGAAGATACCGGAGGCAGGCTAGAGTCAAGAGGGCAGATAAGCTCCCACGAACCATATGCGAGACACATGCTGGTGCATTAAATCCTGGGTGCTCTCAATGTAGTGATGCTGTTTCAAAACTGCCTAGCCAAGCCCCGTCTACTTGGTGTTTGAACTTGATCGTTTGGATGGTCTGTCTAAAGCTGCCTTATAGGAGACCTGCCCTTGGTCCCCTTGGCCCAAGGCTGCCCCCTCTGCCTGGCTGCCCGGTCTCTCCAAGGCTGCAGGCAGGATCCTTTCCGAGCCCTGCCCTGGAGACCCCCTGGGGGGAACCCGGAAGCTTTTGCATCCAGAAGAGACCCTCTGGACCCGGACTGGCAGCCCTGCCTCGAAGCAGGTGGGTGGAAACAGGCAAGGACAAAAAAACAAGACAGAACCCATAGATCTAATACTAAAGCGGTTTCTCTCAAGGCTGCAAAGGAGGTCCTGACAAACTCTCAAGACCCAGGAGAGAATGAAGGGACTGGATTGGTGCCGGGAGGGAGGGGCGGATCACTGAGAAATATGAGCCCCTCCCAGGCACTCCATTTCACGCACACACACACTTCAGATGCAGATTTGCTGGTGGATGTCTGGTTAAGCGACAGTGTGGGTGTGTTGTTGCCATGTTCTTGGTGCAGAATTTCACTCTCTTTTTCTTTTTTTGGGGGGGGAGGGCAAAAAGCTGGTGCCAAGGGCTATTTAAAAGAATGGCCTACAGGAAAAGTGGGATATCTATCATTAGGAAAGCAAATGAACAGATAAATCAAAGATGAGGTTTCACGTCCCCAGTTTTCAATAGCAGGAAGACCATGAGACAATATTGGTTGCCATGTTCTTGGTGCAGAATTTCACTCTCTTTTTCTTTTTTTGGGGGGGAGGGCAAAAAGCTGGTGCCAAGGGCTATTTAAAAGAATGGCCTACAGGAAAAGTGGGATATCTATCATTAGGAAAGCAAATGAACAGATAAATCAAAGATGAGGTTTCACGTCCCCAGTTTTCAATAGCAGGAAGACCATGAGACAATATTGTCTACAATTATCCGTCGCAGCTTGTTGGGGATTGTTTTTTATTTGTCCGGAAAACACTTCTTTTCTCTCCCTCTTTCCCTTCCCCTCCCCACCCCCGCCTAATAAGACCCAGTCACCAAAGACCCAAAGCTGCTGGAACAGACAAGCTGGAGACCAGAAGCCAGCATTTCCTTCCATTCATGCGTTTTGTTTGGTTTGGTATGGTTTGGTTTTTCCCCAGAGCAGGATTCGGTCCCTGTTTCCTCCTTTGGCTCAGATCCTCCACACACTCTCTACCTGTTGATCTCTGCCCTGCTGTGGCTCAGAGCCAGGCTTCACCTCCCAGTTTTCAGATGTACTGAAAAAGCCCGATTTCCAAAGAGGTAACTTTGATTGTCTCAGTCAGCATGTTGGCAAAAAAAGAGGAAGGGAAAAAAATAGGGTGATGCCAACGGGTGTAGCCCTTTAAAGACTAGCAGTTTTATTTCTGTGTGGAACTTTTGTGGCTCAGGAAGTGCATGTTGATCTACAAAAGCTCACCTTACAGCATTATGGTAAGGACTGTCACAGGCACTCTGGTGTCTGGATTGGCCCTTGCAAGTCGTGTGGTGCTTTTAAGACTGACCAGTCTTTTAAAACAAATTTCTTTGGGTTACATTCCCTTCTAACAGCATGTTTTTGGGTTTTGGTTTTTGGTTTTTTGTTTGTTTGTTTGTTTTGCAACCAGCCTCTTTGCATGCAAAGCCCAAAGTATGACTCTGGTACACCAGAGTGGACCCCCCCCCCATTCTGGCTTCAAGGGGCTCTGCCCGGCTGCCCAAGCACGTGGACCACCTGTGGTGGCAAGACCAGCATCCCTCTTTCTGCTACAACTCTCTCTTCAGTCTTTTGTCTCATGCTGTCAAACGTGGGATCGCATCCTCCTGGAAGCCAGCCCTGAGGGAACTACCCCTCCAAACTTCCTTTTCCAAGAGGTGGTGTGTTCTTTCTTCTTCTTCCCTTCCCTTGGACTTTTGATGGCCTCATGGATGTTCTGCTGTGACCTCTAAGGCCGAGGGGAGTGCCAGGCCTCCTGTGCTGTGCCTGCTTTCCCAG